ATAAATAAATAAAAAATTAGGAAAAAAAAAAAGTTTGGCCCAGAATTCCACGGCTCTGCAGTCAGTCGGTCAGTTGAGGGCACGCAGCAGTGAGCAAGCAGGCTGTCCACAGGGGAGGCTGAGGCCCAGCTTGGAGCCAAAGCCAAGAGCCCCCCCATTCATTCAGAGCTCCCTCATCTCAAAGCCTGGGCTGTCTGTGTAGCTGGACGCCTGAGTATACAGGGTGACAGCTCTGAACTGAGCTTTGGCGACACTGAAGTCACGAGAGTATGGTAGTGAAACCAGACCAGGGCTCACACCCCAGCTTGGCCCGTGACAGCTGTGTGACCGTGGACAAGTCACTTAGCCTCTCTGGGCCTCCTGTATAAAATGGCGATCATGCTAGTGCAGCCTCATGCAGTCATGCCGAATGAGACAGCACAGAGAATCCTCACCGTGTGCTGCCTGGGGAGACACATTGGCAGTGGAGAGAATTCAGTCCAGAGTCCGACTCCCCAGGTTCAAACCTTGCGTCTACTGCTGACTAGCTCTGTGTGAACCTGGAAAAGTCACTTCAGCTCGGAGTCTCCCACCTGTACCTCCCAGTACCTCCCAGCTGTGAATGGAGGTAACCACACACCTACCTTTTGACAGCAGGGAAGGCTCAATGACTCTTTTTCTCTTTTTTCTTTTTTTTAAGATTTTATTTATTTATTTGTCAGAGGGAGAAAGAGCACAAGCAGTGGGGGCGGCAGGCAGAGGGAGCAACAGGCTCCCCCCTGAGCAAGGAGCCCAATGCGGGACTCGATCCCAGGACCCTGGGATCATGACCTGAGCCGAAGGCAGGCGCTTAATGACTGAGCCACCCAGGCGCCTTTTTTTTTTTTAAGATTTGAGACAGAATGTGAGAGAGAGAGCACAAGCAGGGGAGGGACGCAGAGGGCGAGGGAGAAGCAGGCTCCTCGCTGAGCCTGGAGCCCGATTTGGGGCTCCATCCCAGGACCCCAAGATCATGACCTGAGCCAAAGGCGGTGGCTTAACCAACTGAGCCGCCCAGGCGCCCTCGGTAATTTACTCTTAGGAAGCTCTACAGCTGGCGGACCGCGGGAGCTCCTGAATGCTGGTATTATCATCACCATTATCAGTATCTGGGCAGCGTACAAGAAGGACTGAAAACGGGGCCAAGGCTCAAGCTGCGGCAGAGGAGGGGGCGTCCCAGGCCGTATGGGCCCGTTCCCTACCATCGGCTGCTGCTCGGTCCAGTTCACCTCGAAGCCATCAAAAGCATGGCTCTGCCAGTTCTTGTTCAGCTCTCGAATAACCATGGCCTCCACCCTCCGAAGAAAGGCTGCGAGCCGGGGGTCGTCGTGTGCGGACACGGACGGCGCGCTGACCAGCACCGGGGCCTCCGTCTGCACCTCGGCGTCCACATGCTTCCGGGTCTGCGCGGCCTTGTCGGCGGTGGCAATGCTTGCTGTCTGGCAACTTCTCTGCAGAAGGTCACAACCCAGCGGTCACCACCCAGCCTCGCCTGCCCGCACCCCCTCCCGCGCTGCCGCTTACCCTCAGGCCTCTGGGCCTCCCGTCACCCTGTCGGCCCCAGTCTGTCCCCTTCCTCCTGTAACCGGCCCGTCTTCCAAAGGACGAGCCCGATCCATGTGCCGTGGGCGGAGATGACCCCTCAACCTCGCTATGCACCCTGGGTCACAGTGAGAGGTCCAGGGGCAGCCAACACGCCCCAACAAGAGCCTGACCCAGGACCTTTGGTGACATTATGACACTATTTGGAGGCGATGCAGGAATTTTTTTTTTTTTTTTTTTAGACATGCTCTTGTGAAGATACTGACAATAACAAGAATCAGGTCCTATCAGAGCGGGCAGTGGTCACCTAAGCCAGCACACAGGAACACCTCAAACCTGGCCCCAGCAGAAGGCCCCACAGCATCTCCCCGCCTTGGCAGGCACCTTCCAAACCGCCCCCGTGATCAAAGGAAGCAAGTGTGTCTGTGATGAGCTAGTTGGTAAGGCAGGCTTCTCCCCAGCTGCCCCTTTTCTCCACCCTGCCATCTGCCTCCAATCTCTTGTCCCCTCTTTAGCTGGGCACAGGGGCAGACAATAGATCAGCCTCTTATACGGACATGACTCACCATTTACCAAGTGAGGGGCCCTCCACCACACACCATCGTCTTACAAGAGGCTCTGCTCACGCGGCCCCTCACCAGGAACCTGAACTCACAGGGCAATGACAAGGCCCAGACTCCTGTGCCCCCTACTCAGGCTTGGGGGGACAGCGCTGGGCACCAGGCCAGCACTAGTAAGCCTGAAGGAAGGGAGCTGGCCCCACACAGGGGCAGCTCTTGCTAGAACATGAAACAGCTATCCCCACGTTCCCCTTCACATTCCACAAAAGTCTCCTTGCTTATCTACCTCCCATTAAACTGTGAGTTCCTTCAGAACTTCAGAACCCTGTCTGATCTCTCTTTATATCCCCAGCACTTTGCATGGTATTTGGCACGTGGCACAAGCTCATTTATACTATATATATAGTATAGTGTGTATATATATCCGTGACGCTATGTTATATACACGTGTATACTAATATAACACACATTATACACATTACATGTTATTTATATACATCTCCATTATGCTCCACACACACGCACACGCACACACATTATTTACTGAGCATCCACTTGCCAGGCACTGTCTGGGTACTACGGATACAGCAGAAAACAAAATGTGCAAGATTCCTGTGCCTAAGGAGCTTCCACGGGGTCGGGGCCACACAAACAAGAAAACCCATCGACTACCTATGTGCTAAGTGCGGCAGAGGTGTGGGAGAGAAGAGAACGGCTGGGGAGGCCTCTGGGGAAATGGCACTTGAGCCGAGGTGTGAAGGACAAGCAGAGAGCTACAGGAGAGGGGCCTGGACAGGGATGGGGGGTGGGGGCGGCAGGGAGGCGAGCGCAAAACCTGCCAGTAGAAAAAGCCCCACGCTCAGAGACTGGACAGCAGGCAGCGCGCCCGGCCGCAGAGTGTGAGGAAGGTGGCACACAAGCAAGGACAAGGCCAGGAGGTGTCTGAGAGCCAGGACGAGCGGGCCTTTCTCTCGCTGTGTGAGCCCCAGGATGGCCGTAAGCAAGGCCATGCCTGTCTGGCTGCTCAGGGAGAAGTGAGGAGCAGAGAGCAGGTGTGACAACCAGTGGATGTGATGGCAGATTCTGGGAGAAGAGAACACAGGAGTAGTTCTGTTGGGCCTCCTCCAGACTGAGATGCCTCCCCACCATCCACATGGAGGCGTCAAGGAGTCCCGAGGGCGGCCAAAAGGCACGAGGCTCTGGAGAGCATCCAGCAGAGACGCGACCTGAAGCCACAGCACTGGAGGAGTCCCCCAATACCAGTGGAGTATGCACATTGAGGAATTCATGGATGGGTACGGGGATCACAAAGTATACAGGCTGGGGCTCCTGGGTGGCTCAGTCGTTGGGTGTCTGCCTTCGGCTCGGGCTGTGATCCCAGGGTCCTGGGATCGAGCCCTGCATCGGGCTCCCTGCTTGGCGGGAAGCCTGCTTCTCCCTCTCCCACTCCCCCTGCTTGTGTTCCTCCTCTCACTGTGTCTCTCTCTTTCAAATAAATAAATAAAATCTTAAAAAAGGAAAGAAAGAAAGAAAGAAGGTATACAGGCTAAGAGACGGTGGGTGAAAATCATCGAAGTTCCGGAAGCCACGATGATGGTAAGAGTGTCAGTCACTAAGTGCTCACTCAGGCACCGTCCCCAAAGCACTACCCGTATCTTATTCATGCTCACAACCACCCTATGAAGAAAATCCTACCTTTGCATTACTACTGTTGGCAACCGAGGCACAGAGAAGTAACTCACCCAAGGTCACACAGCACACAGGTGATCGCAGTGGAGCCTGAATCCAGGTAGTTGGACCTGAGACACCAAACTGTGTCTCAGTCAATGGTGTTCTCACCCAAACAGTCCAACATACCTGGCCATTGATCACATCAGATGAACGCAGAAAAATGTTTCTAAAAGAATGTTAACCCAGCGTCTTAATGTAAGACAAAAATGTCCACAAGAGACAGCGAGCTGTCACCTTTCCAGCTATCTCTCTTAATATTTGTTTGATGCTTATTTATTCAGGCAAACAAATGTCAAAACACTAGGGAAAATTTAGGGAGAAAACAAACTTAAAACCAATGATACTAGGGGCACCTGGGTGCCTCCGATTGTTAAGCATCTGCCTTCGGCTCAGGTCATGATCTCAAGGTCCTGGGATCGCGTCCCACATCAAGGAGCCTGCTTCTCCCTCTGCCTGCCACTCCCCCTGCTTGTACTCTCCCTCTCTCGCTCTCCCTGGCAAATAAATAAATAAAATCTTAAAAAAAAATGATACTGCACCCGCAATTTTTTTTTCCTGTGAATTGGCAGGAAACCACCATTACTCTCTTTTCCCTCTGGGATACCAAAGTAGGTTCCCATGGTTCAAGATCCAAGTATCAGGTCTGACCCTGACCCAGCCCATATCGTCTGGGGATGGAGCCCCAAACCTCCAGAAAGGAAGGGCTTGCTCAAGGTCACCCCATATACATCAGTGCCTTCCGTGCCAGGCAGTGTGTGGCTGGGCTGAGGCTCCCATCTGAGATGTCAGGGAAGAAGTCAGGGCCGAACGGGATCCTTGCTTCCTAGGCCTCGGCAGGGCCAGGAAGGAGAGTGTTAGGGATGCTGGGCTGCAGCCTACCTCCCACACCTCGGAGGCAGAGGTGCTGCAGGGGAAATGGGGGGGGGTGGGGGTGGGGCTGGGGCCAGACTTTAATCACACACGAAACAATTCCCAAACCAAGATCACCAGGCTCCGTGCTCTGGAGTCTGAAGCCCCGGCGACCTCCAGCGGAGAGAATAGCAATGGGACAGGGAGGAGAGCCCAGCTCTCCCGCCCCAAGAGAGAGCCTGCAGATACCCAGAATGTCAGGACTCCTACCCAAGCCACAAAACAGGCCCCAACACCAGGACTGCAGCTTCTGACTGGATGGGAAGTGGACACTAACCTAGGCCGGGCCAATCAGGGAAACTCATGACGGAGGCAAAGATTTCACAAGTTAAACAACACAGGCCTGGAACTGAAACTTGGAAACTCTGGGCCTCGACACTTAGCCACTGCCACAGTGCGACCAGGAGACAAGCAGAGACAGGCCTCAGGGGATGCATAGCAACAGCAGAGCTGAGAGGCAGACAGCCCCCAAAGCTTCCTGGATTCCTCAGGACCAGCTGCACCTCCATGCAGAGGTCCAGGAGACCCCTGCATCCTGAAGAGAAGTGCCTGGCCGGTTTCTGTCACTTGCTATCACACTGAACCCTAGGAAGGCTCCCTGACCCCCAGACCGCCACCCCTCAAGGCCTCACTTCTGAAATAAGGGGTCTCTGGCTGGCATCTAGGACTGGCCGATCAATTTCAGGAACAATCATAATGACAGAGGAAATGGCCCCACTGGGTCCAGTGACCGGCCCCCACCCCAGGCCCCAAGGGGTGTGCTGACAGAATCCTGGGCTCTGCCCTACCTTCAGGGTCAAAGACTGAGCAGTCCAAGTGTAACTGTGCTGATGTGTGACTCAGTCGTTCAGAAACTGGCCAGCTAGAGAAATCCATCCAGGGGATATCAATATGGGGCAGGCCAACTTCAAAGTCATGAGTAGAACAGTCACTTTCGCATTAAAAATATACATTCTAGGGGCGCCTGGCTGGCTCAGTCAGTAGAGCGTGCGACTCTTGACCTCGGGGTCATGAGTTCAAGCCCCACGTTGGGTGTAGAGATAGATAGATATGGGGCGCCCGGGTGGCTCAGTTGGTTAAGCATCTGACTCTTGATTTCAGCTCAGGTCATGATCTCAGGGTTGTGAAATCAAGGCCCCCATCTAGCTCTGTGCCAGGCGTGGAGGCTGCTTAAGATTCTCTCCCTCCGCCCTTCTACCTCCTCTCTCCCTCTCAAGAAAAAAAATAGACAGACAAAATATATACATTCTAGATCTCCTTGACTCTAGGATGTATTGATTATAAGGCCTTCCAACTATTCAATAGTAGCTCTTCAGGGAGAAACTATATTAAATACACAGTTCATTTGTGAGACACACCGAATTTTAAGATCTGTTAAGAAGGCTGGGGGTGGGGGTGTGTCCTCTAATCGAGGAAATACATCACCATAGAAAGAATGTGTGTTTGAAGGTCTGGGATGATGTGCAGTGAGAGGCCCAGCCCCTGGGTAGTAACCACCACCAGCAAATACCAGAAGCATACCACTTCTCACTTCACCCTCCCAACCAGCCTGAGCCAGCACATCTGACTCCAGGGTGGAAAGGGACCTCAAAGACCATTCTAGACCTGCATTCTCAATGGGCAGGCCCCAGAATCACCTGGAAGCTTGCTAAAACACAAGCTGCCACGTCCTGGAGGTGTTCCTGAGTGTACTGCACTAACAAGCCCCC